TTTTGAGGTAAACAACTTTAACTACCCATTTTTTGGGGAAAGCTACATCATATGCAACAAAAAACTGATAAGAAAAATATATTTTTAAATGTTCCATTAAGTTTTTTGGTTTTTGTTTAATCTCGTTTCATATTTTTTGTTTTATTTTGACGCACCCGTTTCTTTTCAGCAGATTATTTAAAAGATTTCAAGAAGTTTCATTAAAATTAGTAATGCGGCGTTGTTGTCAATTCATGTAGATAAATACAATTACATTTTTCGCTCAAAGACGCCCGAAAACGGATATGCAGATCCTATCGTGAACTCCCAGGCAGTTGTAAATTTCTTAAGCGTCGTGTTTTGAGATTTTTCCGGCCAGATAACGATTTTTTAAATTTTACTATAACAAAAAAGAAAAAAAGACATTGCTGAACTGACCAAATCATATTGGTGGGAAGGGGCTAGCGAGTAGATTTAAGTTTTCACCATCACTTTTTGGAGCCTCAAAAACCATTTTCAAGTCCCGTCGTTTAAGATGCGTTTTTAAAAAAATATATAAATAAAAAAAAGTATGATAATGTCGAAAAATTAGGCCAAGGTTTTTCTTTTTCTGATTATTTTTTATAGAAGCAAGAAAATGAGGGAAAAGTTTATGATTCAGAGGTAAAATTTCGGCTCGGAAGTGAAAATTGATTGGACCAAATCTTGTTCTATATCAAGTTATCAGCAAGGTAAAATTGAAGATTCGTATTAAGGTGCGTGCAAGCTGCATGATGGACCAAAATTTTGCTATCGTATCTTAAAACGTCCAGAAGGAAGCGAGCATTCATGAAACTTTATGTTTTAAATTAAAGAAAGTTTCCAAATTTGTTTCAGAGCAAACCGTTTCTTATCCCGCTCGTTGGGCAAATTATCACTCAAATTACTCTTATTGAGCTTCTGAATTACAATTAATGCCAGGAAAAACAGTATGTTCATATGGCGTGACGTTTGGTGCTTGCGTCCGTGAGTTCCCTGTATTATCGCTGAACTCACATAGAAATGTTTGAAACCAAAGTTATCTTGGAATATTTGTTGTGTAATGACATCTCTTACAAGCAATTTTTGCAACTGTGCGATGAGTCCGCAAACTATAAATGAAACCCGCAAATACACTCAACCAGCAAAAAAAACTCATTCATGAGCACCAGCGGATTTGGGGGGGGGGGGCAGGCGCTTTCTCTTAGGGATTCGACATCCTGCCTCCCAAAGGGTCCTCCTTTGTAATGGATTTTGAGATATCCATTTTTGGCTGAAGGATCCTAAAATTTTTCTAAAGGAGCCTTGGGCGCCAAATCAAACCAATTTTGAGGGGGAGCGCGCGCCAAAAAAATGCGATTTTTTTGGTCAAAATTTACCAAAAAGTCCTTGCTGTTTTTTCAAAAAATTCTGTTTTTTCAAAAAAATTACCTGCGGCGCAGAAAGTTTTTTCGAAATGCGGTCTTTATACTGATTTCGGAGAGCTCAGAAAAACAATTTCCTTGACAAAAAAAATAAGTTCGACAATTTTTTTTGAAAGTCCGCCCCATTCGGAAAATCCTAGATCAGCCCTGTTGTTGAGATGGATAGATCGAATGAGATGTTTTAAAGGAGCTATTTCAGCTAAAATTCAAAGCTTGTGCGGAGTTTAAGATTAAGGTTTGAAACACCGTTTGTGGAAACAAAGACAAAACTTTAGGCATTGGTGAACTTATATGATGTATATCATTGACAGTTTTCAGGTCAATCTGATTTCAATTCCTATCTGAGTTTTTAAAAACATTTTTGTAGATTGAATAAACTGGATATCTATATAGAGCAGACTGATAGACTTTACCTAAAATACTTGCATTCTTACTTTTACACTTCTTGACTTTTATCATATTGCTGGTGTTGTTTTTTGTCCTACTTGCTGGCACCCGGGTTGAAGTCACAGAGGTTATCAGTACTGTTCAAGTAAAACAACAGTTGTAACATAAAATTCAGTCCTTTATCAGTGAAAAATCAGGCTTTTACTCTGTTTTTCGCGTGACCAAGAGATTGAACAGAAAAAAATTAGCTGGTAATGTTCTAGAAACAGCTTCAAATTTTTTTAACGAAAATTATAATTGACTTCAAAGTTTTGTCGCGTGTCGTGACAAAGAGAAAAACCATTAAAATAGCTCTAACTGTAGAAACGGTGCCAGAAACTACGTAAAAGTTTGGTTTTTTCCAAAAAAAATGGTTAGCGTTGGTAGTTTAGAAGCTTGAAAATTATCAGAACAAAACCTTTGATTTTTTCCTACTCAGAAAAATAGCAGAATAAAGACAGTACTGAATACGTACTGATTCAGTACTGTTATAATACAGCGGCTTTTTGCTGATTTATCTCTGATCAAATATATAATGCCGCAAATTTCTGGAGAAGTACTGATTTTTCTCTGGGACAGTGACTTCAACCGGGGCAGTGATTTTTATCTTTTTTGTTCAACTAACGATTCGTATAATTTTATCCTTCTTGGTGAAGCTGATTTTCATGCAAATTGATAATGATTTAGTTTATCTGAATCGCTGGATCAACATAATTCAAAGACCAAAACACTTCTCTTTAACATTTTTTATGCGTTAAAAAATTACACATTCAATTACATGTTACTACACTCTGCTGAAAAAATGCGGATTCTACTTTCAAAAGACCCATTCCAAGTACAACATACGGGATACACAATCAAATTTTGGCCCGTACCTAGAGGATTTTCTGTGCAAGATCTGAAAACTTTTATTTCTTGCATTAGCTGATTCTCAGATCTGAAATTCTTTATTTCATATCTGGATATAAAACTTGAAAAACATAATTTCAGATGTGAATATAGATCTAAGAAACCCTTTGTTAAATTATAATTTAAGCATTTCGAGGAAACAATTGAGTTTTTTTGTTATGTTTCTGCAATACATATTTATGTTTAAATTATCTAGCGGTAGAAAAAAATTCTGAATAATTTCACAAAAAGTTTTTTTGAACTAAATTGCTTGTTCAACTGAGATCAAAAATTTTCAAAAACTGTTAGAAGACCTATCAATTTTTTTGACTTCCATGCGTTTCCAATGTTTATTTTATGCTTTGTGAAACATTTTGTGGCAGTCTCCAAATTGGAGACTTTGCTTAGTACCTCCTAGTGGCTAGCAGAAGCTATCAAACGTAGAAGTATCAAAAATAGCAAAAATTGTGTCAAAATCATTGATTTTTTAGATCTAAAATAAAGAAATCTGAAGATCTAAATTATCTCATTCATAAAGTATCCAAGCGTTACTTTAACATTTCACAACCCATTTCAGATCTGAAAAAGATTGTTCAAGATATGAATTAGAAAATTTACTAGGCACGGGGGATTCCGTGACAGGCCACACATGTATTAATAATTGTTTATGAATACCGCAAAATATTGTGGGTCCGGTATTTTATTCTGGCTTCCGCCGCTCTTCCAGTTTGAGCAAGCATTTTTATTGCTTCTGTGTTTCATAGCCATTTGGCTTTGGAATCCACAACAATAAAAAAAATATCAAAGAAAAATAGCCTTGTGGCATTTTCCGGATCAGTTGAGCAATCCCCCCCCCCCCGTTATGACCAATTGGGCTATCCCCCCAAGCGAAGACCGTAAAACGCTACAAAATGACAAAAACAAACGCAAGTAGATGATTGATGTGTACATAGCACGTAGAAAAAGGACCAACTAAAATTTATTTTATATGAGTTTCGAGAAAACTTTTGAAAAAAAAAACAAGCGAAATTTATTTACAAAAATGTTTTTTTGCAAGTTTTTTTTGAGCGACCATTGCCTCATCGAGGAAAGCGAGTTACCAAGGTTGGTGGGTGCTCTAGCCTTGTATCTGAATAGCAAAAATTGTTCTCCGCAGCATCTTACTATTTTACGCAATAGCTTTTTATACTTTTAGGACAGAAAAAAGTCGCTTTATTCGCCTCAGTTTTATTGATTCTTTTTTCCATCTGAATGTAGTTTTTGAGCTTTTATGTTGTAAATTTTGGCGTTCAACATTCTTTGGAAAATCTGGTTTATGATTTTGTATCATACAAGCTGTTTTCAAGTGGCCATAAACGCTGTAGCGGAAAATGGGATCAATTAAGCTATCCCCCCCCCCCAAGAATGGGGGGATTGCTCAATTGATCCCATTTTCCGCTACAGTGTCTTGTCCACTTTTGTTGATGATTCCGCTTAGTCTCAAAAAACACAGTTTGGCCTCGTGTTTTGTCTGCTTGTTCCTTAAGCATTATAAATAATGAAATCATTTCAACTAATGAAATCAGTTTTTCACGTTTATTATTCCAAACTTTCGACTACAAAGGAGTAGCCCTGCCTACTTAACTTTTGCAGAGCACCATTTTCAGATGGATTTACATTGAAATTAATTTCATTGACAGTCCAAATTTTCTCGACAAACTGCGTATACTTTCGATCCCACGAAAAACTGTGCTACTAGAAGAATGAAGTAATAATCTCGGTTCTCAAACAAAGACCTGAGATCTAGTTGTGATGTGATCTTCTAGTCTGGTCGGTTTTCTCTGCTTTTCTGCTGTTTATGTTCGAACAACAAACGGAACAGTCTTTCTCGTGAAATGAAAGATAACGAACTTATGGACCAATTTATTTCACATCTAAAGACAAAGGACAAAGAAGTCTCTCAATAAATGGACTCTAAGCTTCGAAAAACTTTTGAGCAGACAAGAATTCTAGTGCAAAGTTTGAGTTTTGTATTTGATAGAAATACTTCTTTAAGTTCTAGAAATAAGTTCTTTGGATTTAAAAAATAATTTCGAGGTGAAAAAGAAAAGATTTTGTTTTTTGCGAATGTTTGCTAAGCTCCGATGGCAGCCAATTTTGTCTGAAATGATTTGATAGGATGTTAAATTTTTCTGCTTCTCGACTTTTCGATTTAATGGTGACATACCAAACAAGCTGAGAGATATAAAGCGATATGACAGTTCCAAAATGATTTACACGGTATGAATTACTATACATAACATCAGTTGGGGTTAAAATTATTACCATCTGACAAAACCAAAATCTATATTTCACTTTGAAAGCTCAGACTTTGCTCCCATTTTTTCAAACTCAATTTAGGTTCTAAACAGAAACCGTTATTTTAAAGTCCATTCACGTACAGTTATGCCCACTAGGTTTTGAACTAGTTTTGAATCTTTGTCAAAATTTATTAAACTGTGATAAACGGTTCAAACGCAATTAACCCAAAAATCCCAAAATAGTCAAATTTCCAGGATAAATTTAGCTATTCTTTAAAATCATTGAACTAAATTGGACACACCAACAGCGCTTAAGTAAATTCTCCAGGTATAAAATCTGTGGTGTAAATTTGTATCAATGGAGCATCCATTAGAATCGATTGCCGAGTCACGTGATGATGTCGACGTTTTACGAACAGTCGAAACGCTCATTAACGAGTTCAAAGAAGAACTCGGCATTCTGCACGAGAAGAAAGAGATAATTACGAACCAACGAGAGGCGGACTCGCTCTTGTCGAGTGCAAATCAAATGTGGAAAGCGAGAAGTTCTTACAAGTATCAGTTCAAAAATGACCTTGAAATTCGGACCAATCACATTGAGGATATGAAACAACGCGCCAAAGAGGCGATCATAGAAGCGGAGGCTGTGAATCATAGCTTGGCAGTTGCGGCGTCGTCGTCGGCCGGCGGAGCGTACAGTGCAGCGGCACCTGCGGGGGATGTGGGAGTGACTAAAAATGAGGATCAGAAGTTGTTGGATCTAAGAGTGACTGAGTTACAAGAAGTGTATTATGCCGTAAATGATATTTTCAACACGATCGGGTGTCTTATAGGTGAGCTTTATAGCTTTAAGAAAATATTCAGTTCAAAAAGATTAAGTGACAAGTTACATGAAGGTAAACAGTATTCCAATCAATTTATATTGAAAAGAATGCATTTCGATCTACATTAAGGGGAAATTTTTTTGCTTTGAAAAATCTTGTGAATTTTCATGTTGGATTATCAAAACATAAATAATCATGTACATAAATAACTTGGCCGTATGATCAAAGTGTATTGAACTTCAGACGAGATCTTGGTTGATTTTGACGACTACATTCAAAACGCCGCAATTTACGAGCAGGCCAAGACGAAAATTGAGGGAAAACTCAAATCTCTCGAACTGGAATACTTCCCTCCTCACGACCCCTCGTCTGTCGCCGACTCTGGAAGCAGTCATCGAGGTAGCAACGCGTCCAGTAACTCTGGCATCGCGACAAACGCCACTAGCCCTACTATTCGCTACAACAGACAGACTCGTGACTCGCCGACAACGGAGTCGGCTCAGCATCAGTTCGTGCTGCACTCCTCCGAGTCGCAGCCGAGTTGTCTGCCGATGTTGGGGGAACTGAGTGTTGAGGAGCTGGAGGTGGAGAGAGTGAAGGTCCGTCACGTGATTGCAATCATCTTTGACGATGACTCCCACGCTCAGGTTGGTCTAGAACCCCACAATTTATTTCGTTAGAAAAGATGCCTTTAATACTAGATTACTTAACTATAAATTGGCGTCTGATTTTTAACAACAAAACTCATGAATCTCAAAACTCATGAAATTATTTTTGAGTATTGACATAATTAGTTTGAGCAAAATTATTTTGAGTTTTGAATTATTAAGTTATTAAGTTATTAAATATCGACAACAATTATTTTTTAAAATAATTAGTATTTTTTTGTAAGCTAAACGAAATCATCCTGGCTAAATTTTTTCTCGAAGAAGATTCAAATGCATTATTTCTTGGCACAATATGAGTCATCTTTAAAACTGTGATCAACAAATAATGTTGGCTACTATAATAAAACATCGGATAGTGTCGTGTTTTTGGTTTTTAAAATTTTTCTCGATAATGGATAATGATAAAAAAAAAGAAATATTGGTTTTCCAGAACTCAAAACTGAAGAATATAATATCAAAACTAAAGAATTTAAACTCAAAATTGAATAATATATATTCGGAGAATATAGTCTAGGAAAATTCATAAAACACTCAAGTGCTCAAAAACTATCCGCATATCGGCTGCTTATCAACTTTTTTTTCATTATTTTTTTGAAGGTTCTCTTCTGCTTCAGCTTCAAGATCTGAAATTGATCCTGGAAGAAGTCGATCTGTCCTCAGACTCAGTCCGAGTCGAGATCGAGGGCCTGATCGGAAGTTTCGAGAGAGAACTGTCGGCAGCCCACTGCAGGGCCGAGGAGATAGAGAGAGTACTGGACTTCAAGATCCTGGAGAGGACACTGGACAACTCAGTCAAACCACCCTGGAGAAGAGCCATCAACTCAGAGACCGGTCGGTAAATTTTTAGCGAGGAAAGTGCACGTGACGAGAGCATCGCAATCAGAGATCTGTTATTGATTTTATTTCAAAAATCAAGGTTCATAATTGAGGAAGTTTATAGTTTTTCTTACAGCCAGTAACAAAAACTATAAGTTATCTGGGCTAATTACAGCTGAAAATAGCTTTCGCGCTGTAGTCGCGAAAGCTATTTTCCATTTCTGATTCAAGTATAAACTCACCGAAACTTACATCTGTGAAGCTTCGATATCTCAAAATGTTCTCAGTAACAACCGATGAAAAATCAGAGCTATAACTTTCTAAGTTTCTTCCAAGATTTTCTGAAGCTAGTAACACTCAAATAAGTAAGCACAGTAAGTTTTTTGAGCTAGTAACACTCAAATTATAGCGACAGTTTATAGTTCCAATAACTACTTTTGTTACCATATATGTGCTTACCCGGGCATTACGAGGCCAAACTGTGCTTTTAAGAATTACAAGCGGATTCGCAGCAAGGACGCTTGCTTTCTTCTTCTTTTGCTCTTTCTTTTTCTTTGATCGTTCCAAAAAAACTTTAAGATGTTTAAAGACTTGTCTCTGGAATCCAGGAACAAACAGACACAAACACAAAACTGTGCGCCTATCCAGTACACAGTTTGGCCTCGTTAAGGATAGATGTCGCATAATCATTCAATAATTTTTCAGTACTTTTACAACAAAGATTTGAAATACAAGTGTTGTATAAGTTAAAAGAAAACATTTCAGATCTATGCGTTATTAATTGTTGCATTAATAATTTCATCATCAATGTTTTTGTGTAAAACCAGAAAAAAACATGTGAAAAAACTTTAAATAAAATACTAAAATGTTTATAAATATATGATATAGTTATATACCTGATATAATTATACGCTTTTTGAAATCTGGGATATGATCTACACAATACGGGTGATACCAAGCGGATATGGAGCAGATATAACATAGGTAAATGGAGCGTCAGTTAGTGAGTTTGAGATAGCCAGTTATTAAGTTTTGCTTAAATAATTGTCTTTTGTTTTGTATGTATCAAAATTATTCAAGTCCGAAGACAGCAATGAAACCGTACTGAATCTATTCTGGAAGAGGACTGTGATTTGTTTTTTATTTTTAACTCTGCAACTCTGATTCTATCTTATATTGGCCCTGGCATAGTGCTGTTTCATTACTTTTGTTCAAGTGTTGCATGACTGAAACAAAATTGGCTATCACTGACAGATGTATCCCAAAACTTGCTAAAACTGCGCAAAAAGCCTTTGCCTAAGATGTCATATTTTTTCCATCTTCTAATTCATTGCTAAAATAGAAGGAAAAATTACTTTTGTGGAAAAAAACATATGCTAATTTTTATTTTTTTCTGAAAGTTGGGTTGTAGGGTTTTGACAACTAATAGTAGTTTTTAGTTGACACTCTTTATTATTTACGGGACTTGAAATTGTACTGGTTTTTAGGGCATCGCTTTACTAGGCCTATCTGGCCTTTTGATGCCCTTGCGTATCAGTATTAATTAAATTGACAATTGCCCATTGAATAATCACTGATATGGAAACATTTAACTATTATTGTTCCAATTTTTCGAAGAAAAGGTGGAATATATATGCTCGGGGTGGTTTTTTTTGTTCAGACCATTTTTAGAAAATTTGACTGCGTATGGGCATTGATCCGGAAGTCTTCGGATCGCCGAGCAAGTATGCCTGTACTAGACTAAAGTGCGGCATTGATGCTGTAATAGTACTTTGAAAGTCTGTTTCAATAAGTGAATTATTTATGCGTGGCAAATTCTCCGCACTCTTAGTCGTTCCAAATTGAACTGAGGCAAGCTTATTGTTCTTATTTATTCCATAAACGACTCAATTTTCTACACTTTGATACTATCATGTACTAAAAACTATTCGAGATCAAATAATGGGCAGTCGGGATTTTGCCCTGATACGAGCAGTTTTGTTATTATTATATGGCGCTCGCTGTTTTGTTCAACCCAGAACTCACACAACCGAAAAAAATGAAATGAGTTTGCGACAAAGTTTTTTTCTAATTAAAAATTTGTGAAACTTTTCTACGCTAACTCAGGTTAAACAAAGTTGAATACTTTCCGCTAAATTTTCCAAAAGTCATAGATTTTTTTTATTTTTTCCTGATATAATAACTAGTCTTTAAGAGTTTGAGGTTTTTGAAAAACGTTTTTGAACCAAAATGGGAATATTCATAAAGATATTCTAAAGATACTATTTAACCATTAATTTTTTCACTATTCAAATCTTTTGCGTTCAGGTCTTCCAATTTACATAAACAACACTACCAACTCATCTCCTCAAATCAGCCCTCAGCACCCCAAATTCGCCAAGATCAGAGCCAGACTTGTTCACTCTTCGTCCGAGGTCAAATTCCCCAACTACAGGGTCGGCAAAAAGGCCACCTATCTCCAATACATGCTTCTCGGAAACTACTGGCAAAGTTGGGATGCCTTCATTCCTCGGCAATCTTACGCGCAACTCGTGAACCTACCCGACTTCTTACCCCTAATCCGAACCCTATACGAGAGCATTGACCCTAAACTCGTGAGCCGAGGTAAAATAGCAGAGGCGATGGACTGTTTCTACAACCTTTTGATCCAAATGGCAGAACCGGAAGTAAAACTGACAGGTCGGTCGGCTCAGTTTGCAGTGATCATTCTGTCCAGCGCGTCATTTGCGGATAAAATGGCTGAGTTGTTCCGTTTGTTTGAAACTCTGACTATTTTCGACGGTTTTGACCAGGAGCCTATGGTAGGTGTATATATTCCAAAATAGATAACAAATTGTAACTTAGAGGAAATATTGCCAAAATCATTTGGTTTGCTAGTAAAAAAAAGAAAAAATGAGCTATCTCTTTTGATTTTTCTTACTTTTTTGGATTAAAAAAATCTAAAGATTAAAACTTACTACTCTTGAATCACTTTTTTTTAGCTTCAAAAGGATGTCTTGAAATAATTTTGAGAAAAATACTCAACTTGAAAAATGAGAATAGCCCTTGCTTTTTGAACTTACTTTTAACATTTTTGACACTTTGAAATCTTGTTCTATGTTTTTGATTGCAGATTCAAACAACAGACTTCAAAATTATGCTCGAGAAAATTCTCAACTTCGCCAAATTTCTGGACGAGGAAAGCTTCGAAATCATGGAGCAATCTTTGTTTGAAGAGTTCGGAGACTTCGATTCTGTCTGGGTGACGCAAACCCAGTTTTTCCAGTGGGCAAACACCCGTCCTCTAATCATCGACTGGATCAAATGTCACGACGAATTTTTGAATTCAAAACCGAGTGAAGTAAAACACCAAGCTAAGTGTAATCAATGCACCGTTTACCCTATCGAAGGTATTTTGTTCAACTGCCAAAAATGTGCGAATTTCCACCTGTGCGACACTTGCTATCTCGCAAAAGCGTACCATCACGACGACACGCATGATTTTTTCTCATTGACGGAGCCGTTAGCCGGAAATAAAAAAGGATTTTTGCAGTTTCCTTTGTTCAGAAGAAGGTCTGGAAAGAAAGGCCGTGGAAAAGTAAGTTCAAATTTGGAAAATTATCTTGACGAAAATTTTTTTACCTCTTCTCATTCAATTTTCATTTCTCTCAACTTGATCTGAATTAAAAATATTTACTAGTTAGTTAAAACGTTTTTTTTTGCTTGAGACTTGCTTTTTAATAATACTTTTTTATTTGGCTCATTTTGGTTCACGCTGGGATTCGAACATGGAACCTCACGCCAGAAAACTTGTGATAAAACCTACATTACTGACATAGTCAATTAAGCTTAACTCATTTTGTGAATGGAAGTTCAAATAGGTTTGGGTGTGTCTTCTTTCAAATATCTAAATGAGGCCACTTGAGATCAAAATTGACATCGGATGATGGATTTAAATGTCGTTACAAAGGGTTGACTTCACTTTAAGGGGCGTGTTCGATTAACCCATCTTAAATGGCCGTGTTTAGGATAACACATTTGTGATATAATATCTAGTTGAACTAACTTGATCTAAACTGAGTTTATGGGTTTATCAGATTAATGTATAAGTGGCCGTGCTAGGGAAATATACTCAATGGAAATTATGTCACAAACTGTCGCGTCTTTGATCAATTCATTAGATAGGCGGCTTTTTATTAGATCCAAATGGCCAAACATTTTGCCAAAAAACTTCCAAAAACGTTGACATTTTTTTCACAATTATTTTTTGACAATGTCGAAATCAATATTTCGAAAACTTCGGGAAAATTTTTTTTTTGTAAAACTGATGACAAAATTGCAAAATTTAGCATTAAAATTAAACAAATCATTTTATTAAATCAAACTTATCGTCTTTACAAAGAACAAAAAACATAAAGAAGAGTTCAGCATGCTAGTGAATTTTTACCACAGAGCATTGTAATTTCTTTACAAAAACATTTTCCCTTTGCGCGTTCTTTGTGCGCGGAGAATATCTATAGGTCACTTGAAAACTAGCAATAGCCCTAATTAACTACAACTAATTTTCGAAATGAAAAAAAATTGATAAGAAAAAACAAGCCTTTTTTGAAAAATTCAATTTTTGAAAGACAGAAAAGTGGCAAGTAATGCGTGAAACAACAACGAATTTTCTATTGATAAAACTCGTTTTTCTCGACAGTGGAAAGTGATTTTGAAACATTTTTCAATTTTTTTGATTATGAATTCTATTTTTGTTTAAAGTTAGTTTCTCATAGTTGAACTTCCATTTAAATACTTGGATTACAAAGTTCCTCCTTTCTTCGACCCCGCAATTCATAAGACGCGAAAAAAAAATTAGGATAAAAATTTATAGGTTCACTTCTTTTTCTATTTGATTTTTATGTTTTTTTTTAGGAAAAGTTCATCAGATTTATCTAAAAACTAAGCAGATGACACATGATACCTTTATATAGTTTTTGAATCGTTGCTTTGATAATGCTTTGTAGTGTTTCCAAAAAATTCCGTGTTTATTGAAAATTGTTCCCTTAAAAATATAGTTCAAGTTCAGAAGTTTAGAAAGCTTCAGTAACGTTGATTTTTGAAAAACACCTTTGAATATAAAATTCATTTACATAAGTCAATGCTTTTGCGAGAGTTTAAAATCAATTTTCTTACAGAAACGAATGCAAAGAGAACGTAGAGGACTTCACTTACATTTTTAAAGCCTTTTTACTAAGAAAACCAGAGAGCTGGTCATATAGCATTTCCTGCTTCTTTTAGTAACCAAATCTAAGTCTGACTTACTGTTTATTGTTGAGCAATTTCGAGAATGCTAGATAAGTTGAAAAATAAGGATAGAAAGAAAAACAAATTAATAGGAGATAAATACTTTAAGCTTGTTGATATTAAATCATGGAACAACTTAATCTTGTTTCCCTATCAGGTTTGATTATTATTTTATTTGTTTAACATTTTTTCTGATTAAGTTTGCAAGGTGAAACCGTGTTTAGCCAAATCTGTCATTGATGATTATTTTTACCTCGTCTATACTGCCTTGCCCGCTGGAGTTCTGCTTGCCACATGCCATATTAACTTATATTTTTTTTGTTTATATTTTGCAACCTAATCGAAAAACTTCTCGATTTTAGATTCAATTTTTGTAAGTGAAAACCTTCAGAGCTTATTTATTTCATAAAAGAAGAAGACTAAAAAAGTTTGAAGCAGAAAAGAGATACAGAGAAATTTGATAATATAAAAGAACTGAGAGCTCAACTTATCTCTAAGTTTAAAATGAGACTAATAAACATAGTTTTGTCGGTCTGCTGAAAAGATTTTTCCTGACTCAGACCTTGCTAAAGTCTCAGATCTTGCCTTCTTTATCATTAACTCAATCCCCAGGATTTTCCCTCTCTTAACAAGAGCTTCTTCATCAGTTTCTCAAGTTAACTTTTGCCCACAAAAATCAATCATACTTTCATCTCGGGGACACGCACATTTTGCACCTGCGATTTTTATTTTAAAATTCAAAAAATCCCTGAGAATTCATAGAAATAGGAGAAAGTTATCGCCCTATTATCGGCTTTTCAGGGCAGATAAAGTTAGGCAGTGAGACATTCTGTCTTTAAGTAAATGCTCTTATTTTGTAAACAATTATAGCAATAGTGATAATTAAAGTGTAGTTGAACCCTACATCTTTATCGACCAATAAATGTTCAAGAAAACTTGAAATTTTTAGATAATACCCGTATGATTCACTGTAATGTTATTCAATCTAAAAACAAACAAAGAGTATGATTCAGCTGATTAGAAGGGTAATAGTAATACCTGATTCCAATCATGCACACATGCACTAATTTACATCAACAGGACAGATTTATATTATCGAAGTTATAATTCCAGAAAAAAACTGATTACGAGAACTAAATCTGTTTTGCCTTGGAAGATTTATTCTTGGTGTAATTTTATTTGGTTTTACTGTTACCACAGTTTTGTTTAAATTAGGGTGGTAGAAATGGGCCATTAAAACCATGGGCGGATTTGGGGGGGGGGGGGATTCGACCCTTATCGACCCACCAAAGGGTCCCCACTTTGAACTATTTTCAGATATCCATTTTTGACTGACGGACCCTAAAATGTTTCTAAAGGTGCCTATGGCGCCAATATATACTTGTTTTAAGGGGGAACGCGCGCCGAAAGAATGCGATTTTTTGGTAAAAATTGTCCAAATAATGCCTAAAAACCCCAGTTTTTTTTCAAAATTTTTTGAACTGTTTGTGGCCTGTTTTTTTCAAATTTTTTTCCAAAACAGGGAATATTTAGTGCTTTATGAGAGCTTGGAAAATCAATTTTGTCGACCTAAAAAAAGGTCGTCAAAATTTTCGAAAATTTTTTGAAAATCCGCCCACCCCCCCCTCGAGAAAATCCTAGATTGGCCCTGATTAAAACTATAAAAGCAAATCATAAAATTGGGTGGCCATGGAAAGCGTGATAAAGTTAACCAATTTTTTATGTAGTCCTTATTTTGCAATTGAAACACTTCCAAACATCACATCTTGCTGTTATAAAATTTTTAAAAAATTTTCTGAAGTAATTGGAGAAAATGCATTTGCTTGTCAGTCGTTGCGAAATGTGAATTTAGAGAGAAAACTCAAGCGGAAACAGTGATAGCTTTACGCTCGAACGTCGAAACACGACTTCAACTTCTAGTTTCAAACGAAAAACGAGCACTGGAAGTCGAAAAGGTTCCCCGGGACCGACAAACAGCAACAGCAACAACAAAAATCGGGATGCAAAAAGTAGTTCGAACTCTTACTGTTCACTTCTGGACAAAGAGCAAATCGAGAGAAGAAGAGCGGGAAGAGTGGAGAATCATTACAACTCACTGAAACTGCCCCCTCCCCCCGCGCCCAGAAGTATGGTGGAGTCCCCCTTGGCTGGTCGGCCAGAGCCTCAAATGGGGGAGGGGAACCAAGAGGCGCAAAGCGACAGGTAGAAAAACTATATTTATTTTATTTTTCTTTGCAACCCCCCCCCCTCGCCTCCTCTCACAATCCGTTTTGGTCTTTTTTTAACCAAACATGACCTCAAAAGCACCTAATCCAGTTTTTCAAACCGAATAATTTTTTATCTAACAGCCAAAATCAGCTTGTTTTGACTTGATTTTCAGCCACAGTAGCAAATTTAGTGGGAAGGGGAATTCCTCTGAGAAACTGGAAATTCTAACCATCCATCAGAACCAGGGGTGGATCTAGGATTTTCTCGAGGGGTGAAGGGGCGGATTTTTGACGACCTTTTTTTAGGTCGACCAAATTGATTTTCCGAGCTCTCCTAAAGCACTACAAAGACGCTGTTTTGCTGTTTTGGCCAAAGTTTCTGCGCCGCAGGCAATTGTTTGAGAAAACAGGTCAAAAAGCCGTTTTTGGGGCACTTTTTGGAAAACTTTGACAAAAAAATTGCGTTTTTTTGGCGCGCGCTCCCCCTCAAAGTTAGTATATATTGGCGTAGAAGGCGCCTTTAGAAAAATTTTAGGGTCGGTCGGCCAAAAATAGATTTCTTAAAAAGTACCAAAGGGGTCACCCTTTGGGTTGGCAGGGGGTCAAATCCCTGAGGAATGAATGCTTTTCAAACAGGGATAGTCAGTTGCGGTGCACGTAGCACAGAAAGTTCCGACACTGAAACAAATGATGAAAAATCTTTAAATTTTTTTTAATTATGTGTTTTTGCCAAAATGAATCACTCTATGGTTTCCAGCAACTCTTACGCCTATGTGGAATGCACTGCCCTTGTACCACAAGGGTCAACAGAGGTCATGAGAGTAAGGTCAGAGAGAGGTGACGGTGAACACAATGCCATCAATGAATTGGTCAGGAAGCTAAGCGACACAAAGGAAAACAAAGAACACCAGGGAGTGGAAAGTGTGGCTTCGAGAAACAAAGTGGGAGACATAGACGATAAAGGTGGGTTGGGACGGATCTTGTTTTGATATGAATCATTGAGTTTTAGATGCAGTCGGCTTTTTTCCAGATCCCCGCATGATTGAAGCTTAAAATAACTTTTCCGTTATAAATCATATCAAAACAGACATGTCAGTGTTGACATGATAACAGGTTTAAACAATTTTTTTTTCAATATGAAGGTAATTAGATCCAGCTGCAAAATTAGATCATTGTTTGATAGTTTTTCAGAGTTTTTGATATTCTTTGTTGCAATTGTTCATATTTAGGGCATTTCTGAGTTTTTTTTCGAGAGATATGAATGGAGCTGATCTTTCTCAGTTGTTGTTGTTCCGTAGAGAGCTTCTAGTGCCAACTTCAAGTCGCACTCAGGAATGAGAGCCGGTGGAATAAAAGATTTCACTTTTTTCTTAAGTTTTTGTCTTTTCTGTATTCAACCGCCAGTCCTAATTCTTGTACTTTATACCAATCGGCCTGCGCAAAATGAAAACACCACCCTTTTATGGACGCTGTGGAAAATTCCGATTTGAAAACAGAAACTGCTGCTTTCTCGAAATCAATCAAAATTTCTGTTGACTCTAATAAAAGATTAAGTTCACGTAACACACGAACTAGTTGCTAATACTGCTGTTGAGTTTTTTGTTGCAGCAGAAAAATAAACCATTGGGAGGGAGCAGATATTTATAACAGCTTATACAGTATGTAATTGATAGAATAATGGGGGACAACTTTTAAATATGTCATCAGCGTGCCAAGTTGTGTAACGCTCGAGAATATCCAAGTTTGCCTCAATGGTGAACTTACGAATCCACCGGCTCCGAGTGATGAGCCAAGAAGTTCTCCTCCATTAGAGTGGTTTAAATTTCCATGGGAATTCCTATGCCTCCCACGGTCTTTGGCACAACTCCAAAGTCTCTTTCTCGTTGAGTCGCTCTTGCAACCGAGGTAATTTTGGGTATGTTTGCTGCGCACTCCTCAGAAACGGTAAACGTTAAGTTTTGATAAATAGATCGGGGATGTTCTTAAGTGTTTGATAAAAAATTGCGCAATCCTCAGAAACGGTACTCGTTAAATTTTGATAAATAGATCGGGGATTTTCTTACGTGTTCGTACGTGTTTGCGCTCTTTCTTTCATTTTGCATGACTCTAGAACATTTTGGAAAAATTACATTTTGCCACTCAGAAGTAGTGCAAATACGAATGAAACGACTCAATGAACAAAAAACTCATATCTTTCCCCAATAATTGCATTGAATTAAGTAAAAAAATTACCTGATATTTAGTGGGGGTATTGAGGGTCTTAGTTTAGAGTAATTAAAGGTTTATCTTACGAGTTTATTGCGAGTTATCGCGTTTTGCTTGCTGTCGTAATTGTTAATTTATGCGAGTTGTCTTTTTTGCGAGTAGTCTTTTGTTGCGAGTTGTCGATTTACGGCTTTACCCAACTAGCTTAAGCTTATTATGTCGTCCATAGAATCTATCAGGTGCAGATTTAGAGGGAAGGGGGCTCCCCACCCTCTTCAGGTATTAGACCACCTCGCCACCCAAAGGGTTCCCCTTTCCGTACTTTTGTTCATCCTTTTTCGGCCGAGCCCACTCTGAAAATTTTGTTTAGGCTTCTTCTGCACCAATATATTCTAGTTTTGACTGCAAAATAACTATTATCATGCAATTTTGTGCACTTTTTACCGCCAACCACCCCACCCCCCTCCGCCGCCCTCCTGATTATGAACTTAATTTAAAACTGAGTAGACGAAAAAAAAATCGCACGATTGTTTGATGCTTATTTTTAGTTTATATCGGTAGTGGTTTTTCTAAGAGCGATTTTAGATGAACAATAGTTTGTCAGCGGTGATTAACTGACTACGGCGCCGTCTCTCAGCTGTGCGGTCGGTGGTGCGAAGCTCTACCTAATCCGAGCTTACTCTTCAGAGTGCCCGGACAATTAACCTAAAACCAATGCCTGCATTTTTTAACACTGGATCACAAAATTGGTTCTCCGTAAATAGCTGAACAGCTCGTTGGTCTTTTTCCTAGAGGATGAATAGTTCTAACAAAACTAAATGTTTCAGCTGTGAGTGAAAAAGTAAGCGAACTTGAGGACATGTTTTCCAACCTATTCTCACACGTTAAGACGATCTCGCAGACGGCGGGTATTCCTCTAATCGAAACTACCAACACGAACTCCACGAAACACCCAGCCGACAACAATCCGACTCAGGGTGAGTCATACCAGCTGGACGACATCCAGTACGACTCAATTGTGAGTCTCAAGTTCGGACGAGAGACTGACCAGATTGTTGTTCACGTGAGCGAGGCTTTGGAGCCGATTGAGAACCACGAGAGGCTGAGGACTGTCGCTAAGTGCACTCTGATTGGTCCGTTTGCTGCCCAACTGGATTACCCTGTCAAGTCATTCGTGACGCAGTCGTAAGAATGATTTATTTTCTAGGTTTTTTTTTCAGTTTTATCTTGAAAAAATAAACTTCTTAAAAGTTCATGAACAATTTGCACGGCGAAGTTTTTTTGTTTTAAACGAAGATGGTTATTGAGCCAAAATCTATTGAGTTTGGAATTATGATTATAAGGAAATTGGTTTTGAGCTACACTTTATAATCAAAAGTTATTTAAAATCACGGATTATTGAGTTTTTTCTCAGAAGTAAATTTCGGAGTGAAAAGCTGAGAAAAATTCGCAAAAAGTTCATATCAATTTTTTCTAGGTTTGAACTTGGTGAAGACATTTCTTCTCAAGAGATTTCTTCCAGGAAAACTTCCAGTCTGTCGAGTAGCCAATCAAAATCGGAGTCTCAACTGAAAGAGACCGAAAGCGAAGAGGAACACGTGCAGCTGACCGATGTGCCAGAGAGCAGAAAAAAAGAAGAGAGAAACATTTCGATTATTGCCGACTACTGTTCCGATTTGGTGGACAAATGCTTCCAGGAAGCCAATATTTTTGTAAACTGACCTAAACTTGACTAACTTCGAAAATTATGAGTATTATAAATGATAGATGGGTGTTTTAATTGATTTTATATTTCAGTAGTATGAACTTATTTTCTATCTGAAAGTTGGAGATCACTGAAAAATGAAGTTTATCTTGCCTGGCTTATCTACGAGAGCTTGATCGAAATGATTGAAAAAAGGTCTTGCATTAAATCGAATTGGATTTGATACAAATTAATCAAGAACATTTTGGTCAAAAGTAGCATTGGCAAGAATATGCCGCGTGCTCCGTTTTGCTCCGTCGGGCTTAGTTTTGGCTGCTGTACTATCAGGGGCGGATTTAGGATTTTCTCGAGGGGGGGGGGGGGGGGGGCGGATTTTCAAAAAATGTTCACACCTTTTTTTTAGGTCGACCAAATTGATTTTCCGAGCTCTCCTAAAGCACTAAAAAGACGCTGTTATGGTCAAATTTTCTGCGCTGCAGATAATTTTTTTGAGAAAACAGGTCAAAAAGCCGTTTTTGGGGCACTTTTTGGAAAATTAGACAAAAAAATTGCGTGTTTTTTGGCGCGCGCTCCTCCTCAAAATTAGTATATATTGGCGTAAAAGGCGCCCTTAGAAAAATTTTAGGGTCGGTCGGCCAGAAATGGATTTCTTAAAAAGTACCAAAGGGGGGACCCTTTGGGTCGGCAGGGGGTCGAATCCCTGATGGGGGGGGCGTCCGCCTCCCCCCCCCTAAGTCCGCCCCTGTGTACTATCGCTTGCGTGATACAGTGTTTGCCGGAAGCCTAGTGTTTTTAAAGTGTTTCGGAATGATATCTCAATCTGAAGTGATGTCACTGTACACATATAAAAAACCATACATTTCAGCATCATACCAAACATAACATGCTAAAAGATTACATAAGTAAAAGCCTCTTTTGATCCTTATGTCATAAGCTCGGAAAATGATTTGATTCCAGGCAGGGGCCGGTATAGCGAAAGGTGTTTTGTATTGGGATCTATTTAACAATTGCCCCCCCCCCTTTTAAGACAGGGGGGCGATTGTTAAGTACATTAAAACAACGCATATTCGACCAATCAGACAAAAGGGGTGGCAATTATTAAGTAGATGCCAAAGGGAGGGCGATTGTTATGTAGATCCTTGTATTGTTCTAGAGATCTCAAATTCAAATTAAGCAATTTTGAAAAACATCGAGGTTTAAAAGTTTATCACCCCCACCCCCCGACAAAATTAGTTCTAGATCCACCCCTGGTTGAAGGTATCACTTCGTTTACTGAATTTAACCATGTTCATCGTGTGAAGGTTTTCACCATATTTACTTCTACTCAAAATAAATTCTATGTTAAACATCTAACCGTAAATTATTCTCACAGCGACAAGTTTGTTTTGTATTGTAAAAAATCGTAGAACTTGAGAAGTGCCGTTGGCTGCACTGCGCGATCTCAGCGATTTCCAGATCAGATGGTATAAGATTCAAATCTCGACTCGAACACAAACTTTTACAATTCTATCAAAGTATCCTAGAGTTGGAACTGGGTCTGAACGGGTCTGATCTGGGCCGGCCTGGTTGAAAAACAAAAATTTTCAAGTCCGGGCCATGCACGGGCCCATTTTAAATGAAAACGCGAATTTTTTTAAACAGAATGTAAAAAGCAATTTTGAATGAGAATTTTACCAAAATCAAAATTTAATGAGTCCATTTGCTGCAGCCGGTCCAGCAGTTCATCTCGGCTGACTTTTGCATCAGAAAAGAGGACTCAAAAAGGTGTTAAAAGTTGTTAAAATGTGTGAAATGTGTGAACTTTTTTGAAGGCCCGGTTGCTGTTCCTTGTGAAATAACAACCGACAGACTCTTCGTTTGTAAAACAAATTGTATAAAACATGAATTTAATAAAGAACATTAGGATATCTGTATCTTCCACCAGTTAACTTGAGAGTGATTTATTCATACACATCAGATCATTAACACGTCGTCTAGTATCGACCTTGACATCAAAAACACCAGGCTCACTCATTCTAACAACTAACACTTTGACCATTAGGATGAACAAAACAACTCAAATGCACTTTCATAAGGGGAGGCAGTTACGCCGTACCACTCTTCCATCCTTTCAAAAAGTTTCTGATCAACAGAAATTATAAACAAATCCAGAATGAGTATAGATAAAAGTTTGAAATGTTTTAGTTTTAGCTAGTCGTCCGACTTCTGAGGTTGTATTTTGTTCTTTTTGAAGACTTTCATTCTTCTTCTTGGGGACGGAGACGAAGAAAACTCAGCCGCCGACACTGGGACCGTTAACCACCGGAAAATAATGGCGTTGACGCTTCTGATACTTCTTTGACCGCATGGACAATGGGCTGCCATAAAATTGTGTCTGTCTTTTACTGCGACCTGAGGTTCTCGAAGAAGATGACTCGTTCCCGTCTTGATCTGCTGTAGCTTCAGGAGTTATCTTCTGCGGGGTATCTGCCGACTTGTTGGGGCTGGAATGCGGGGCTTGTTTTACTACAGTCAGTGGGCAGGACTGTGGTGTGACGTTAGATTCTGTCACCTGGTCGTCTTCTGAGGATACCGGCATTAGTCCAGCTGCATCTGAGACAAGTTCTGCCCCCGGTTGTATAATGATTCTCCTGGTTTTATCGGACCTCTTGTTGTCGATCTTGATAGAAATTGGGTCGGCTTTCAAACTAGAAGGTTTATCGACGGGAGAAGAAGTCGCCACAGGAGTATTGATGACGCCTCCTGAACTCGAAGACGATCTTGTTAGATCCACTACCGGACTTTGGGGTCTGGCAGTCTGTAATGGGGTGCTGGTTCTTTTTGCGCTGGGAGCGATTGCCCGAAATTTTCCTTTTACAGGAACCGCCGGTACTGCCAGTTTTGTTAAAGCTGTCAATTGCCTCTGTTGCGCTTGAGCCTTAGGGACCAGAAGTTCGTCCGACGAAAAAGACGATAAGAACTTCCTTTGTCTTTTCATCCTTTTTTCTCATTACCGGTTTGCTGGGTCTTTGACGACCCAAAACTTGTGAAATATTTAGCCTTAATGAAATATCATTTTTCCTAATAACTTTTCCTACCGCCGTAATATATGTTGAAGGAGTAATTTTGATAATTTTGTCCCAGTAATGTTTAAATAGTTGCTTCCCTGACTTGCGATTTGCGACTTTCCTGAATACTTCAACCAAATTCGGATTAGATAAAAGCAATGATTCTAGTTTACATTTGGCACTGGTTGGTGGCGTATCATGGTGTCTTGTCTGAAGATCAGGGTCTCAGTTGTTAAAATACTCCTGAGGTAAGCCGCTAGGAGTTGCTTGCTCTCCGTTAGAGTGCGGAGAGCTCGGCAACATTCTTCATGGGTCAATTTGTTTTTCCAGACCATCCACTCATTCGCCGGTTTTGCTAGCTGTTCCACACTAGTAGGGTGTGTTTGCGATCTGAGTAACCCCCCCCCCTCCTCCCAGGGATTCTACCCTTATCGACCCACCAAAGGGTCCCCACTTTGAACTATTTTCAGATATCCATTTTTGACTGACGGACCCTAAAATTTTTTTAAAGGTGCCTATGGCGCCAATATATACTTGTTTCAGAACAAATTTTTTCCAAAACAGAATATTAAGTGCTTTATGAGAGCTTGGAAAATCAATTTTGTCTACCTAAAAAAAGGTCGTCAAAATTTTCGAAAATTTTTTGAAAATCCGTCCTCCCCCCTCGAGAAAATCCTAGATCCGCCCCTGATTAAAACTATAAAAGCAAATCATAAAATTGGGTGGCCATGGAAAGCGTGATAAAGTTAACCATTTTTTTTATGTAGTCCTTATTTTGCAAGTGAAACACTTCCAAACATCACATCTTGCTGTTATAAAAATTTCTGAAGTAATTGGAGAAAATGCATTTGCTTGTCAGTCGTTGCGAAATGTGAATTTAGAGAGAAAACTCAAGCGGAAACAGTGATAGCTTTACGCTCGAACGTCGAAACACGACTTCAACTTCTAGTTTCAAACGAAAAACGAGCACTGGAAGTCGAAAAGGTTCCCCGGGACCGACAAACAGCAACAGCAACAACAAAAATCGGGATGCAAAAAGTAGTTCGAACTCTTACTGTTCACTTCTGGACAAAGAGCAAATCGAGAGAAGAAGAGCGGGAAGAGTGGAGAATCATTACAACTCACTGAAACTGCCCCCTCCCCCCGCGCCCAGAAGTATGGTGGAGTCCCCCTTGGCTGGCTGGCCAGAGCCTCAAATGGGGGAGGGGAACCAAGAGGCGCAAAGCGACAGGTAGAAAAATTATATTTATTTTTCTTTGTAACCCCCCCCCCCTCGCCTCCTCTCACAATCCGTTTTGATCTTTTTTTAACCAAACATGACCTCAAAAGCACCTAATCCAGTTTTTCAAACCAAATAATTTTTTATCTAACAGCCAAAATCAGCTTGTTTTGACTTGATTTTCAGCCAATTTTCAGCAAATTTAGTGGAAAGGGGAATTCCTCTGAGAAACTGGAAATTCTAACCATCCATCAGAACCAGGGGTGGATCTAGGATTTTCTCCAGGGGTGAAGGGGCGGATTTTTAACGACCTTTTTTTAGGTCGACCAAATTGATTTTCCGAGCTCTCCTAAAGCACTACAAAGACGCTGTTTTGCTGTTTTGGCCAAAGTTTCTGCGCCGCAGGCAATTGTTTGAAAAAACAGGTCAAAAAAGCCGTTTTTGGGCACTTTTTGGAAAACTTTGACAAAAAAATTGCGTTTTTTTGGCGCGCGCTCCCCCTCAAAGTTAGTATATATTGGCGTCGAAGGCGCCTTTAGAAAAATTTTAGGGTCGGTCGGCCAAAAATAGATTTCTTAAAAAGTACCAAAGGGGTCACCCTTTGGGTTGGCAGGGGGTCAAATCCCTGAGGAATGAATGCTTTTCAAACAGGGATATTCAGTTGCGGTGCACGTAGCACAGAAAGTTCCGACACTGAAACAAATGATGAAAAATCTTTAAATTTTTTTTTAATTATGTGTTTTTGCCAAAATGAATCACTCTATGGTTTCCAGCAACTCTTACGCCTATGTGGAATGCACTGCCCTTGTACCACAAGGGTCAACAGAGGTCATGAGAGTAAGGTCAGAGAGAGGTGACGGTGAACACAATGCCATCAATGAATTGGTCAGGAAGCTAAGCGACTCAAAGGAAAACAAAGAACACCAGGGAGTGGAAAGTGTGGCTTCGAGAAACAAAGTGGGAGACATAGACGATAAAGGAGGGTTGGGACGGATCTTGTTTTGATATGAATCATTGAGTTTTAGATGCAGTCGGCTTTTTTCCAGATCCCCGCATGATTGAAGCTTAAAATAACTTTTCCGTTATAAATCATATCAAAACAGACATGTCAGTGTTGACATGATAACAGGTTTAAACAATTTTTTTTTCAATATGAAGGTAATTAGATCCAGCTGCGAAATTAGATCATTGTTTGATAGTTTTTCAGAGTTTTTGATATTCTTTGTTGCAATTGTTCATATTTAGGGCATTTCTGAGTTTTTTTTCGAGAGATATGAATGGAGCTGATCTTTCTCAGTTGTTGTTGTTTTGTTGCGTAGAGAGCTTCTAGTGCCAACTTCAAGTCGCACTCAGGAATGAGAGCCGGTGGAATAAAAGATTTCACTTTTTTCTTAAGTTTTTGTCTTTTCTGTATTCAACCGCCAGTCCTAATTTTTGTACTTTATACCAATTGGCCTGCGCAAAATGAAAACACCACCCTTTTATGGACGCTGTGGAAAATTCCGATTTGAAAACAGAAACTGCTGCTTTCTCGAAATCAATCAAAATTTCTGTTGGCTCTAATAAAAGATTAAGTTCACGTAACACACGAACTAGTTGCTAATACTGCTGTTGAGTTTTTTGTTTCAGCAGAAAAATAAACCATTGGGAGGGACCAGATATTTATAACAGCTTATACAGTATGTAATTGATAGAATAATGGGGGACAACTTTTAAATATGTCATCAGCGTGCCAAGTTGTGTAACGCTCGAGAATATCCAAGTTTGCCACAATGGTGAACTTACGAATCCACCGGCTCCGAGTGATGAGCCAAGAAGTTCTCCTCCATTAGAGTGGTTTAAATTTCCATGGGAATTGCTATGCCTCCCACGGTCTTTGGCACAACTCCAAAGTCTCTTTCTCGTTGAGTCGCTCTTGCAACCGAGGTAATTTTGGGTATGTTTGCTGCGCACTCCTCAGAAACGGTAAACGTTAAGTTTTGATAAATAGATCGGGGATGTTCTTAAGTGTTTGATAAAAAATTGCGCAATTCTCAGAAACGGTACTCGTTAAATTTTGATAAATAGATCGGGGATTTTCTTACGTGTTCGTACGTGTTTGCGCTCTTTCTTTCATTTTGCATGACTTTAGAACATTTTGGAAAAATTACATTTTGCCACTCAGAAGTGGTGCAAATACGAATGAAAAGACTCAATGAACAAAAAACTCATATCTTTCCCCAATAATTGCATTGAATTAAGTTTAAAAATTACCTGATATTTAGTGGGGTATTGAGGGTCTTAGTTTAGAGTAATTAAAGGTTTATCTTACGAGTTTATTGCGAGTTATCGCGTTTTGCTTGCTGTCGTAATTGTTAATTTATGCGAGTTGTCTTTTTTACGAGTAGTCTTTTGTTGCGAGTTGTCGATTTACGGCTTTACCCAACTAGCTTAAGCTTATTATGTCGTCCATGGAATCTATCAGGTGCAGATTTAGAGGGAAGGGGGCTCCCCACCCTCTTCAGGTATTAGACCACCTCGCCACCCAAAGGGTTCCCCTTTCCGTACTTTTGTTCATCCTTTTTCGGCCGAGCCCACTCTGAAAGTTTTGTTTAGGCTTCTTCTGCACCAATATATTCTAGTTTTGACTGCAAAATAACTATTATCATGCAATTTTGTGCACTTTTTACCGCCAACCACCCCACCCCCCTCCACCGCCCTCCTGATTATGAAATTAATTTAAAACTGAGTAGACGAAAAAAAAATCGCACGATTGTTTGATGCTTATTTTTAGTTTATATCGGTAGTGGTTTTTCTAAGAGCGATTTTAGATGAACAATAGTTTGTCAGCGGTGATTAACTGACTACGGCGCCGTCTCTCAGCTGTGCGGTCGGTGGTGCGAAGCTCTACCTAATCCGAGCTTACTTCTTCAGAGTGCCCGGACAATTAACCTAAAACCAATGCCTGCATTTTTTAACACTGGATCACAAAATTGGTTCTCCGTAAATAGCTGAACAGCTCGTTGGTCTTTTTCCTAGAGGATGAATAGTTCTAACAAAACTAAATGTTTCAGCTGTGAGTGAAAAAGTAAGCGAACTTGAGGACATGTTTTCCAACCTATTCTCACACGTTAAGACGATCTCGCAGACGGCGGGTATTCCTCTAATCGAAACTACCAACACGAACTCCACGAAACACCCAGCCGACAACAATCCGACTCAGGGTGAGTCATACCAGCTGGACGACATCCAGTACGACTCAATTGTGAGTCTCAAGTTCGGACGAGAGACTGACCAGATTGTTGTTCACGTGAGCGAGGCTTTGGAGCCGATTGAGAACCACGAGAGGCTGAGGACTGTCGCTAAGTGCACTCTGATTGGTCCGTTTGCTGTCCAACTGGATTACCCTGTCAAGTCATTCGTGACGCAGTCGTAAGAATGATTTATTTTCTAGGTTTTTTTTTCAGTTTTATCTTGAAAAAATAAACTTCTTAAAAGTTCATGAACAATTTGCACGGCGAAGTTTTTTTGTTTTAAACGAAGATGGTTATTGAGCCAAAATCTATTGAGTTTGGAATTATGATTATAAGGAAATTGGTTTTGAGCTACACTTTATAATCAAAAGTTATTTAAAATCACGGATTATTGAGTTTTTTCTCAGAAGTAAATTTCGGAGTGAAAAGCTGAGAAAAATTCGCAAAAAGTTCATATCAATTTTTTCTAGGTTTGAACTTGGTGAAGACATTTCTTCTCAAGAGATTTCTTCCAGGAAAACTTCCAGTCTGTCGAGTAGCCAATCAAAATCGGAGTCTCAACTGAAAGAGACCGAAAGCGAAGAGGAACACGTGCAGCTGACCGATGTGCCAGAGAGCAGAAAAAAAGAAGAGAGAAACATTTCGATTATTGCCGACTACTGTTCCGATTTGGTGGAAAAATGCTTCCAGGAAGCCAATATTTTTGTAAACTGACCTAAACTTGACTAACTTCGAAAATTATGAGTATTATAAATGATAGATGGGTGTTTTAATTGATTTTATATTTCAGTAGTATGAACTTATTTTCTATCTGAAAGTTGGAGATCACTGAAAAATGAAGTTTATCTTGCCTGGCTTATCTACGAGAGCTTGATCCAAATGATTGAAAAAAGGTCTTGCATTAAATCGAATTGGATTTGATACAAATTAATCAAGAACATTTTGGTCAAAAGTAGCATTGGCAAGAATATGCCGCGTGCTCCGTTTTGCTCCGTCGGGCTTAGTTTTGGCTGCTGTACTATCAGGGGTGGATCTAGGATTTTCTCGAGGGGGGGGGGCGGATTTTCAAAAAATTTTCACACCTTTTTTTTAGGTCGACCAAATTGATTTTCCGAGCTCTCCTAAAGCACTAAAAAGACGCTGTTATGGTCAAATTTTCTGCGCTGCAGATAATTTTTTTGAGAAAACAGGTCAAAAAGCCGTTTTTGGGGCACTTTTTGGAAAATTAGACAAAAAAATTGCGTGTTTTTTGGCGCGCGCTCCTCCTCAAAATTAGTATATATTGGCGTAAAAGGCGCCCTTAGAAAAATTTTAGGGTCGGTCGGCCAGAAATGGATTTCTTAAAAAGTACCAAAGGGGGGACCCTTTGGGTCGGCAGGGGGTCGAATCCCTGATGGAAGGGGCGTCCGCCTCCCCCCCCCCCCTAAGTCCGCCCCTGTGTACTATCGCTTGCGTGATACAGTGTTTGCCGGAAGCCTAGTGTTTTTAAAGTGTTTCGGAATGATATCTCAATCTGAAGTGATGTCACTGTACACATATAAAGAACCATACATTTCAGCATCATACCAAACATAACATGCTAAAAGATTACATAAGTAAAAGCCTCTTTTGATCCTTATGTCATAAGCTCGGAAAATGATTTGATTCCAGGCAGGGGCCGGTATAGCGAAAGGTGTTTTGTATTGGGATCTATTTAACAATTGCCCCCCCCCCTTTTAAGACAGGGGGGCGATTGTTAAGTACATTAAAACAACGCATATTCGACCAATCAGACAAAAGGGGTGGCAATTATTAAGTAGATGCCAAAGGGAGGGCGATTGTTATGTAGATCCTTGTATTGTTCTAGAGATCTCAAATTCAAATTAAGCAATTTTTAAAAACATCGAGGTTTAAAAGTTTATCACCCCCACCCCCCGACAAAATTAGTTCTAGATCCACCCCTGGTTGAAGGTATCACTTCGTTTACTGAATTTAACCATGTTCATCGTGTGAAGGTTTTCACCATATTTACTTCTACTCAAAATAAATTCTATGTAAAACATCTAACCGTAAATTATTCTCACAGCGACTATTTCGTTTTGTATTGTAAAAAATCGTAGAACTTGAGAAGTGCCGTTGGCTGCACTGCGCGATCTCAGCGATTTCGAGATCAGATGGTATAAGATTCAAATCTCGACTCGAACACAAATTTTTACAATTCTATCAAAGTATCCTAGAGTTGGAACTGGGTCTGAACGGGTCTGAACTGGGTCTGAACGGGTCTGATCTGGGCCGGCCTGGTTGAAAAACAAAAATTTTCAAGTCCGGGCCATGCACGGGCCCATTTTAAATGAAAACGCGAATTTTTTTAAACAGAATGTAAAAAGCAATTTTGAATGAGAATTTTACCAAAATCAAAATTTAATGAGTCCATTTGCTGCAGCCGGTCCAGCAGTTCATCTCGGCTGACTTTTGCATCAGAAAAGAGGACTCAAAAAGGTGTTAAAAGTTGTTAAAATGTGTGAAATGTGTGAACTTTTTTGAAGGCCCGGTTGCTGTTCCTTGTGAAATAACAACCGACAGACTCTTCGTTTGTAAAACAAATTGTATAAAACATGAATTTAATAAAGAACATTAGGATATCTGTATCTTCCACCAGTTAACTTGAGAGTGATTTATTCATACACATCAGATCATTAACACGTCGTCTAGTATCGACCTTGACATCAAAAACACCAGGCTCACTCATTCTAACAACTAACACTTTGACCATTAGGATGAACAAAACAACTCAAATGCACTTTCATAAGGGGAGGCAGTTACGCCGTACCACTCTTCCATCCTTTCAAAAAGTTTCTGATCAACAGAAATTATAAACAAATCCAGAATGAGTATAGATAAAAGTTTGAAATGTTTTAGTTTTAGCTAGTCGTCCGACTTCTGAGGTTGTATTTTGTTCTTTTTGAAGACTTTCATTCTTCTTCTTGGGGACGGAGACGAAGAAAACTCAGCCGCCGACACTGGGACCGTTAACCACCGGAAAATAATGGCGTTGACGCTTCTGATACTTCTTTGACCGCATGGACAATGGGCTGCCATAAAATTGTGTCTGTCTTTTACTGCGACCTGAGGTTCTCGAAGAAGATGACTCGTTCCCGTCTTGATCTGCTGTAGCTTCAGGAGTTATCTTCTGCGGGGTATCTGCCGACTTGTTGGGGCTGGAATGCGGGGCTTGTTTTACTACAGTCAGTGGGCAGGACTGTGGTGTGACGTTAGATTCTGTCACCTGGTCGTCTTCTGAGGATACCGGCATTAGTCCAGCTGCATCTGAGACAAGTTCTGCCCCCGGTTGTATAATGATTCTCCTGGTTTTATCGGACCTCTTGTTGTCGATCTTGATAGAAATTGGGTCGGCTTTTAAACTAGAAGGTTTATCGACGGGAGAAGAAGTCGCCACAGGAGTATTGATGACGCCTCCTGAACTCGAAGACGATCTTGTTAGATCCACTACCGGACTTTGGGGTCTGGCAGTCTGTAATGGGGTGCTGGTTCTTTTTGCGCTGGGAGCGATTGCCCGAAATTTTCCTTTTACAGGAACCGCCGGTACTGCCAGTTTTGTTAAAGCTGTCAATTGCCTCTGTTGCGCTTGAGCCTTAGGGACCAGAAGTTCGTCCGACGAAAAAGACGATAAGAACTTCCTTTGTCTCTTCATCCTTTTTTCTCATTACCGGTTTGCTGGGTCTTTGACGACCCAAAACTTGTGAAATATTTAGACTTAATGAAATATCATTTTTCCTAATAACTTTTCCTACCGCCGTAATATATGTTGAAGGAGTAATTTTGATAATTTTGTCCCAGTAATGTTTAAATAGTTGCTTCCCTGACTTGCGATTTGCGACTTTCCTGAATACTTCAACCAAATTCGGATTAGATAAAAGCAATGATTCTAGTTTACATTTGGCACTGGTTGGTGGCGTATCATGGTGTCTTGTCTGAAGATCAGGGTCTCAGTTGTTAAAATACTCCTGAGGTAAGCCGCTAGGAGTTGCTTGCTCTCCGTTAGAGTGCGGAGAGCTCGGCAACATTCTTCATGGGTCAATTTGTTTTTCCAGACCATCCACTCATTCGCCGGTTTTGCTAGCTGTTCCACACTAGTAGGGTGTGTTTGCGATCTGAGTAGTATCCTGCTTAAATTTGGGAGGCACATCTCTGTTTTGGTAGCCCTTCTTTACTACCTTGACACAAGGCCTGCTATCGCACAACTATCTTCTGTCCTAGGCTGTCAGGAGGTCTCTTTCCAAATTGTGCTCGTCTAAATGTAATTTAGATTTTAGATTGTCGGTCGCTAAAGACAACTCAGAATTTGGTTTCCTGCCAAACTGTATTTCTAACGGGACTTTGCCTGTTACTGAATTTTGCGTAAGTTGGATATCTTCGATTATCATTACAAGAGCCGTTTGAATATCCGGTGGATTATCTTCCAACTGTAAGTTTCTCAATTTTCTTTTAATCGTCTGAATAGTACGCTCTACCAATCGACATCCACGGTGATTTCCGACCGAGCAGAAAATGTGATTGATGCCTTTTGATTTGCAAAGTTGGTTAACGGTCTTAATTTTAAAACCAGAATAATTGTCCGTTCTGATTGCTTTAGGAATACAATGAGTAAAAATGTAGTTCTTCCAGAGTTTTAAAATTTTATTTGCTCCGGTCGTTTTAGTAAGCATTGCAGACGGATATTTAAAATAACGGTCGATAGCTACCAGATTAAAAATTTGATTAGCTACAACATCTGATAGTGGACCGGCATAGTCTAATTGGAGTTCCTCACTGGGAGCATTTAGTAGAGGTAGAGAATAGTACATTTTGAAAAGACTCGTTGGTTTTAAATTTTTACCAAATTTTGTACATTCTCTGCCATTCTTGCAAAAATTGACGATGTCTCAGTCGATCGTCGGCCACCACAGATACTAGGCCGTGTCCATCATCGCCTCTTGGCCTGCGTGCAAACGGTGTAAACGTGAAAGGACTGCCCATTGGAGGTAACTCCGTATCGTGATTCTGTCGCGATAATTATGCAGCCGTCAACCACCGCTGCAAAAGGTCTTGATGTAGGGATCTATCCTGGCGAAGCCTTCGTAATCCCTGTTTTTTATCGCCATTTTCATCAATCTGAGAGTTGCGTCTTCATCCGTCAGTTCGCTGAGGATGTATGCGTCTGGAATTCCTGTCAGAATCTTTTGTCCTTGGCGACTATTCTTTGCCCGATTAAAACTCGGTTCACTGGTCTTGTCGCTCGTTTCGGTCTGATCATTCTTTGTTTTCGGAAATTTAAGATTACAGTGGCGTATTTGGTTCGCCGGAGGTCGCCTGCTTCCCCTGATGGCATTCTTCTCTGGCATTGGTCTCTTTGATAGCATTGGTCTCTTTGCCTTCTGTCTGCGGATCGATCTTGGGCGACCAATTGGAATTCTGTTTAGGGGCGCGAGTTCGTTCAACAACTTTCTGAAATTTTCCTCCATAATGGGATCATCCATAGCATTCCAAATATCTAAAATTGAAAGATTTTTACGAGTTGGTGATCCACTGATGACCGAGTTACATTGACAATATGGCACAGATGATTTTGATATCTTGCAGAAAGATACAGGAGAAAACTGAGTTTTGTTACAGAATGTGATAGAATGCTCGAGAAATCTGCCAGAGCAATGAGTACGATATCTCAAATCTGATTGGTTCTCGCTTTTGGATAATTTAACCGCGCCCTCTCGCGGCGAGCATC